ATGGTGTCACAGTAAGATGTACGCTGGGATCCAGCACACAGAGGGTGATGCTACCTCTTGCACTCTTATATCATTATATCATTATTTTGCAGAACTCAGTGTTACCCAACTGTCAGGCCACAAACTACAGGAAACAAACAGGGAACCTGTCCCCACTAATTTAATAATCAATCACCCAGCAAGAACCAAACATTGCATTTAACCCCTGGGTGCCCAGTGACATGACAGGACAGTACCAGTACGATCCTAAACACACCATGAATGGGGTTAAACATCACACTATATGCCATAGACACAGAGAAGTAATACAATACAAATTAAATTACTTTATAAAACCAAAACTGACAGAAAACATTCATGATAAATGTCCCACATAAAAAAGACACACGCAATGTACATGCATACACACACACACATGTCAAATCAACAAAGAGGGACACTTTCATTTTGGGGGGTGTGACCAAGGGCTGGCTGTTCTGACTTACTAATAACAATTTATGGAACTAAAATGTAATTTATAACAAGAACAATGTATCTTATTTCCACAGACTGATTTCTAAACACATTTATTGTAGTTTAAAGACACATTACTGGGAGTATTATTGCTGTGGAACTCTCTCTGTTATACACTCAGACACACCAACAATATGGAGCTCCTAGAAAAGAGGGATACTAGTATAGAAAAGAGGGATTAGGGTCCACGGTAGGGACTGTCCCTCCTAAATAGGGACACTTGGAAGGTATACATACGTACATACACACACACACCTTTGTTATGAGGTCTTGCATTGAGAAAAAAAACCAAGCCCAGAAACCTAAGAAAATAAAAATGACATACACACCCACATATTCAAACAAAAACATACAAAGTACATACGAACACGATACAGACGTGCTAGATAATAATGACTTGGCTTATTTGTATTTGGAAAAATTGGCTCTTTTTGCGTATTAATCTGAGTGTACGTCCCAGGTAGTGGAGTATTAATTTATGTGGTTTCTTATCCAGACCTTCTGTCACTTACCTAGTGAGCCAGGGAGAGCCATGGCCTGTGCCAGAGGTCAGTAATTCAGTATAACAGCCCTGTGCCAGAGGTAAGTAATTCCAGGTAATTCACTATAACAGCCCTGTGCCAGAGGTCGGTATTTCAGTATAACAGCCCTGTGCCAGAGGTCAGTAACTCGGTATAAGAGCCCTGTGCCAAAGGTCAGTAATTCAGTATAACAGTCTTGTAATAGTAATCCCAGGTAACTCAGTATATCAGTGCCAGAGGTAAGTAATTCCAGGTAATTCAGTACGCCAGAGATGCAGACTACAGAGGCAAGTTGTACTCTGAAACCTGAATGCTATGTGCAGGACCAAGACACCAAGGGGGAGGAGGTCTGACTTATGACAGATCTACATCTTTTGCTGCACGCATAGGGAAGTATTTTTAGAGCAGATTATGTGAATTAATTCTCGGTAATTCTACCCTAGTCATGCTTTATAATAACATCTCATGCCAAGAGGAAACATGTTTAGGATAGGTGTCACCTTCACCTCACATGTCACAGTAAACACATACATTGTCTGCATGGCTGGGCTATTAGTCACTGGCCAACTGCAGCCCGCCTAGAGGAAGCTACCTGCCATCAAATGCTGTGTGAGGAGGAGACCCAAAGCTGTCTGATCAATATTTACTTGTTTTCACGATTATTTCTCTATTGTTATATGTTGTAAAACTTTAGAAAGTCTCTCGGAATATTTCCACCATATAACAAGTAGGGAAGATACGGAGCTGCTATATCAGCGAGGAGGAGGAGGATGTTTATGGGGGGGCCACACTGTGACGTTTCCTTTTTTTTCTGGCCGGCTGGACACCACAGAAGGTTTTACAGTTGTTGAGGAGTGCAGTGGGTTTAGTGAAATACACACTCAATTTGCGCAGCACACCGCTGCTTGCGCCAACTTCCTCCCACGCCGCTCCTTGTGAGCGCACGTACGTACAAGCACGGACTCCTAGAATGCCATTTCAGACCGTGCGCCATCACACACCCAGGCACACAGCATGATGGGAGTTACTATGATTTACAATGTGGCCTCGACAAAGTCACCTATGATAATATAAAACAATTTTATTACATATTTTTCAGTAAAATAAATCAAATACCTTAGTTTCTCAGTGGGCCCAGTTAATAACCCAGAAGTGATGGGTCCCCTTTAAGAGTTTGTTTATTTTTTTGTGACCTTCTCCCTCCCCGCCTCCCTCGATTCTATTATGTTAAACGCTCTCAGCCTATACAGTTAATCATACATAAGAACAGGGAGTGTCGCTCAGAAAGCTACGCAGTGTTCCATGTGTGCGGGCCGCCCACTATATATTTATATTTACACTTTTTGCGCTTTATTTCCCTTTTTAAGTGATTTACATATTCCTGGCACTACTGGAAATTAACCCCTCATGTACCTTTAGCTGGGAAGCCTCCTCTAATCAACATAGAGCAGTAATAATGAGAGAGGATTTCAAAGCTTCTCAATGCGAGTGGGCAGTTTCTAACTTACTATCAATTACATATACACACACCTATATATAAACATGTATACACACATATACACAGACAGGTGCATACATATACACACACATGTATATATAGACACATATGTTTACCTACACAAACTTAAATGTGAATGTAAATATATTCCAATGAATGGTCTGAATGATTGCCATTCTATAGGTTTATCAACCCCTTAAGGACACATGACGGAAATATTCCGTCATGATTCCCTTTTATTCCAGAAGTTGTGTCCATAAGGGGTTTATATGTATCTGCACTTTTTACTGCCATCAATGAGAAGGGCCCTGAAATAAAAGACAAATAGTGTATTTTCTATTTTCATTAGAACTCCAGGTCTCCAGGTTTTTGATGGTAGGCAATAAAATGGGGGCGGATTCTTTAAGTAACAAACAAGTTCATTACATAATGAATAGGGTCCTGCCTTATCTCTCGTTACAACAATTACAATGTAACTCCCCAAGGCAGAGCAGTGAGTAACAAACCACTCAGCAGGTGATTTCGAAGTTACAAAGTCCCCATCACGCACGCAGTAAGAATAATGATCTAATAATAATACGCAATGAGATTTGCCCGGAGTTTGTTGACCTTGAAGCTGACTGTTCTTCTTGATTACCCAACACAAGTCTCTCGCAGCAACCAGTCTCGCTAATAATGTATCCAAACCCTGGATTCAGCTATAGCCTTACATACTGTGTTTTGGAGCACCTGAGAATGTTTTTTTTAAATCCCATAAAAACATTACAGCTTGTTTATTTTCACCCATGGCTCAGTAGCGAGTCTTCGCCTGGGTGTTACCTTAGCAGAGCCTTCCTCGATGATGAAGATGGGGCAATGCTGCGGACAGTCCGTTAGCCGCTCGCTGGGTGGGTTCAGTGCTGCGTTGACCTTCGTTGCAGCTGCAGATTCCGTTTCAGTACCTGCTGCAGTCCTCGCAGTCTCTGCCCATACAGGAACCTTCTGCAAGGCTCACATTACAGTCCCGTGCAAGTATACAAATATGTAATCATTCGCATACCTCTCAAGCCTTGGCAAACCCTGTACACAAGCTCTGGCAAAGTGTCAGATGAGAGCCAAAAAAGGCGTGTTTGGCGTGCACGGGACGATACTGGAATACATCCAGTTATATCACGTTTGCTTGATGCTGAAAGCAAGGAAGGTCTCTAAGTGTTCAGAAGCGACATGATGGGTTAAACAAAGTTATGTTTGTACTTCCTGATACTGTTCAGAGAGCTTTTAGCAAACCGCTCGCTGCATCGCTTACCATCTATCAAATATACGGCCATGCAATATTCATAGTAAGGAAAATCCTGCGCCACACACAGATCTGAAAGATTTTCCATCTTATTCACTGTGTAGAGTGAATTGTTAGGAATTCAAAGTGAATTTTTTTCAAGTTTTCGGCTGCAATTTACAAACTGGAAAAATTCTTCAAGTGAACAACCAATCAGTTCACACTTTAGTGGATAATTCAGTCTGTGCTTCTACAACACTCCCAGAATGCTCTGCATGATATGCAAATAGGCACAAACCTCTGTCAATTTTAGATTTTCAATCTATGCTGTTCTTTTGGCAACAGCCGTCTGCTTGATAAAGGGACACTATAGTGTCAGGAACACCGCTTGGTTTTCCTGACAATATAGTACCCTGAGGGTGCCTCCACCCTCAGGGTCCCCCTCCCGCGGCGCTGAAGAGGTTAAGAACCCTTCAGCTACTCACCCTTTTCCCCCGCAGGGCTCCCTTACCTCTTCTCCCCCCCCCCCCGACGTCAGCATCCTTGTCTGACGTCACCTGCGCCGAATGCACATGCGCGGCACTGCCGCGCGTGCATTTAAAGTGTCCATAGGAAAGCATTTTTCAATGCTTTCCTGTGGACGCTCTGCGTGATTGAGGCATAATATGCCTCAATCATTGCCGATGCGCCTCTAGTGGCTGTCCAGGAGACAGCCACTAGAGGCTGGCTTAACCCCAGATGTAAACATATCACTTTCTCAGAAACTGCTATGATTACATCAGGCAGGGTTAACCCTAGAGGGACCTGACACCCAGACCACTTCATTAAGCTGAAGTGGTCTGGGTGACTATAGTGTCCCTTTAAACATTTTTGGGGGGGCTGGATCAATATATTTAGAAATTGACTTAAGTCATTGAAGTTTTGCAGTTTTTTTCCTCTCCTCATGTTTAATAATGCCTAGTGACAAACTTTCACAATGACAAAGACAGATCGACGTCCGCAACTCAAAAAAAGCTCTGGATTCAGGTCCAGTGGCATTGTGTACATTTTATATATGACTGAAAACAGGAGAAGTCACAGTAATAAACATACGAGATAGAGATTTTTTTACAAATATTTTGCCAGTTAAGTTAACTCATCAAAATGCCTTGGGCAAGTTAATTTTGTACAAACATTAATATTCAGCTACATTTGGTTGTTTATAAGTTTTAGGGATGACTTTTCAAGATGGAACCCTGGTGTACTGTCCATTAGCGGGAACACCGATGTACTGTCCATTAGATCGAGCCCTGGTGTATTGTCCATTAGAGGGAACACCGATGTACTGTCCATTAGATGGAGCCCTGGTGTACTGTCCATTAGGGGGAACACCGATGTACTGTCCATTAGATGGAGCCCTGGTGTACTGTCCATTAGCGGGAACACCGATGTACTGTCCATTAGATGGAGCCCTGGTGTACTGTCCATTAGGGGGAACACCGATGTACTGTCCATTAGATGGAGCCCTGGTGTACTGTCCATTAGGGGGAACACCGATGTACTGTCCATTAGATGGAACCCTGGTGTACTGTCCATTAGCGGGAACACCGATGTACTGTCCATTAGATCGAGCCCTGGTGTACTGTCCATTAGAGGAAACACCGATGTACTGTCCATTAGATGGAGCCCTGGTGTACTGTCCATTAGGGGGAACACTGATGTACTGTCCATGAGATGGAGCCCTGGTGTACTGTCTATTATGGGTAACACTGATGTACTGTCCATTAGGGGGAACACCGATGTACTGTCCATTAGGGGGAACACCGATGTACTGTCCATTAAGGGGAACACTGGTGTACTGTCCATTAGATGGAGCCCTGGTGTACTGTCCATTAGGGGGAACACTGATGTACTGTCCATTAGATGGAGCCCTGGTGTACTGTCCACTAGGGGGAACACTGATGTACTGTCCATTGGAGGAAACAGATCTATATTTAGGAGGAACACGGGTGCAATGTGAAGATGGAGGGAACATTAATGCAACGTCCAATTAGGGGGAACATCAATGAACTGATACCTTTAACAGAACCCCTGCTGGTCTGAACACAGCTTTCTCTTGGTCTCCAAAACATTAAAGCTGTTGGAATGGTTCTTAGAAGCAACATTGAATCGAAAACATAAGAGTCATCACATTGCAATTGTAATAAGAAATGCATAGTTCAGGATGAGATGGCAATTTAAAATCCTAATTTTCTCCACCCCAGACCTAAAACTGCTTTTTAATTCATGGCTCTCGTTAATTTTGCTCATCTTAATAATATATAATATTTTAGTATATATCCATGGCTCATATTTTCCTCTTTACTGTGGACACTATGTATTCCAATAACCACATAGAAACCAGCAGTCTGGGTGTTTTTTGGTTGTTTTTTTTTAGTATCTTGTCTTCACAATAAATAAAATAGACAAAAACTATTCCATGATAGAAAAAAAACACAGCTTTGTGCAACGCTGAAGTCCGTAGGAGATTTTATTTTTATATTCAGTTTATCGAACCTTTTTTCTTGCAATCGCACAACAAGCTAATGGATGAGATGAGAGAAAGCTTTTAAAACATGTAATGGATCTGACATAATGCATCTTGCTGTAACAGACTCTTCACATCCCGCAGTAAAAGCTTCCTGGAGCTGAGTACTTACTGCTGATGCTTCTTGGACGGCGAGTCTGTCCGCGAGAGATACAGCCATCGACCACGTCTTGATAACAAAGGCTTGGCGAGATCATGCGTTGGGCCATATTTATCAAGGCCAAGACTTGGGGAAACAACATAACCGCTTTACTGATCTCCTTTTATGTAACTACATGTCCCAGAAATGACTGCAGATAAATATTACCCAGGAATACATCATCTGGCCAGGGTCTCTCTATTTACTAACCAAAAAGCCACTGGGAAATGTGGCTGACGGGCGTGCTAGGGCTGACAGCGAAATGCTAGATCAGATAGTTGGGCTCGGGAACTTAAACAGCAATGATGTTTTAAAGCTCTTCCCTGGTGGAGTTAGAGAAAGGGTTAAGATCAGCCTTGTAGTGATCATTTCAGGGAAATAAAACCCAGAAAAACACTGGATAAAGTAGCATGGGGGGGGGGGGCATTTTTTTAAAAATTTCTGTAAAAAAGTGAATATTTATTTCTTTTGGTTTTAAATTAGTTTTTTTCCCCAAAAAATATTTATTTAGAAAAATTAAACTACCAGTTATATTTTATTTAAATATGTGTAGTGAGGTAAAAAAATTAAATACTATTTGCTACCATAATGCTGTAGGATAACAATTGTGGAATCGGCTCTCTAATGTGTTTTATTGTAGCTTATCACGCTCTTGGCTATTAGAAGAACTTGGCATCACTTGAACACTAGTCTGGCACTGAAAAGATTATCGATTATACCCAGCGAGATCTAATGAGAGAATTTTTCAGAAGCTTTATCAGGGGAATTCAGTGAAACAGCTCGAGTGCCATCGCTTCAATTTATTTAAAAAAAAAAAAATTGGAAACAAAGTTGAGAAAAGGGGGTAATACAGAATAAAGAGGAGAGGTAATAAAAAAAACATTTTTTTTCGAGCACTACAGCTTTCCATGAATGGTTACATTATCAGCAAATAACTTATACCTATACAGGCAGAATTAACGTACATAAACAAAAAGTCTTATTAAAAAAAAAGGTGTATTAATCGAAGGAGGAGTCCATCTGACTGCTTTTCGCCGGTTCTGTCAATTCATCATTATAATCAAGTCTTGGTTTAAATTTAGTTCAACTGTCAATGTAAAGAAAAATAGAACACTGAACTTAGAGGAAAGTCAATAGAGAGAGAAGAGAGGGTGTAGAGGGGGGAGCTTGTGGGTGAGTTAAAGTTAGGTCCGTAAATATTTGACATAATTTTGTCTCTGTACGCCACCACATTGGATTTGAAATGAAACAACTGAGATGCAATCGAAGTGCAGACTTTTGGCTTTAATTCAAGGGAATGTTTAGGAATTGCAACAGTGCCCACAGTGATCAAATGTAATTGGACAAATTAACACAATCATAAATAAATTTGTTAATTTTTTAATATTTTATCGAGAATCCTTTGCAGGCAATGACTGCTTGATGACTGGAACTCGTGGACTTCATCACATGCTGGGTTTCCTTTCCTCCTTTTTACTGAAGTGGTTGCTGTTTGTTCATCTGTCTTTCTGCCTCAAGTTTTGTCTTCAGCAAGTGAAATGCCTGCTCGGTCGGATTCTGTCATTGCAGAATATTCCACTTCTTTGCCTTATAAAATTCCTGGGTTGCTTTCGTAGTATGTTTTGGGTCATTGTCCATCTGTAAAGTGAAGCACCGTCCAATCAACTTTGCTCAATTTGGCCGAATCTGAGAAGACAATATATAATTATAGTAGAGACATACTGGATATCGCACTCACCAAGTAACCCAGGTGCTCTGAAGCCAGGGTTTTACAGATGATGTGGTATGCCTCAGATCATGCCATTCCAAGTCTTCTCCATACTTTTTTCTTCCCACCATTCTGGTACAGGTTGATCTTAGCTTCATCTGCCCACAGAATGCTGTCCCAGAACTGGGCAGGCTTTTTTTTTGATTTTTTTTAGGAAAGTCCAATTTGGCCTTTATAGTCTATCTCACGCCAACACCCAAAGTATAGCCGCCTCTCCTGGGGACACTGCCGTCTGACACCCCCTGTTATCCGCTGGACTTGCTCTACTCCTCCTAGCCGCACCTGGGGACCTGCTACTTCTCGATCTGTCCAATGCCTTGCGTGACCCCTACAGCACCCTACGCCTCTCCGCTGCACCACCAGACTCACAGCTCCTAGCCAAAGTGTTACACCTGCAGTTCGCCTTCAAGCCTCACCTCCTGCCAACATCCGCCTCAGCTGACCCATCTGCATTCCATATTCCTGACCCAACCCCACTGGTGACACTGGCAGTGCACCCCAGCGGATGCCATCTAGCCTCTGTGGACTCAATGTGGGGGACCTGTGATGGGACAGTTCCCGTGTCCTGTCCCGGCAGCCCCCCGCCCACTCGTGATGCCTGCTTCTCCAAGAGCCCTGCTACGGGGCCACTACCGATTCCCTGCGCTTCACCCTAGCTGCACCCCTGGACGGGAAGGATCAGTGGCAACGCCATCCTCCTGCATATCCAGGGGATCCCAAACCAGACTTGCCAGGGGCCTGCACCCAGACCCAGTAGCACCCCCTCTGCCAGAGGGGCCTACTGACCGCAAATCCATCCTGGCACTAGTCTGTGCCAGAGGCAAAGCCCTGGAAGTCCTGCCACTACCACAATAAAACCCCCTATGAGGAAGAGTCAGCTGTAACTGACCAGGGACAACCGTGCTGCCTCCAGGTAATGGGCTTACAGGTTCCCGGTTGTGTCGCCTCCTCCGCTCGAAGTCGGCAGTGGGGGCCCTCCTCCCCCAGATCTTTCATTTTGTATCCAGTGGCTGCTTTGAGAAACGACTGCCAGATGTAAAATAAAAAAAAATAAAAAAACAATATCCACCAGCTCCCTCCACTACTTGTAGAGATCCTGGACTAGAGTCTCACATTTGGGGCTTCAGACCCCAAAGTCCCCCCCCCCCAGCCCCTCTAGCACCCCCCAATGGCTTTATCCCTACATCATTAAACTGTTAATAGCTCCTGACTGATTCCTCTTCTGCAACTGTCACTAGTCTAATACTATCCTTACCTTTTTGTGTCATTTTACCCCACTCCCTCTAGCATGTAAGCTCATTGAGCAGGGCCCTCAACCCCTCTGTTCCTGTGTGTCCAACTTGTCTGGTTACAAATACATGTTTGTTCGTCCACCCATTGTAAAGCGCTGCGGAATTTGACGGCGCTCTATAAATATCATAATAATAATAATAATAATAATAATAATCATCATTAGAGCACTTTACATTTTATCCACATAAGATTTCTGGGGATCCTGTGGATTGTAATGTCTATCTGATGTGAACCCCTAACATTCCACCATTATGAAGAGTTCTGACGTGTAAGCTTAGTGCTTTGGACTCACCTGATGATGCAAGTTTTGTTGGAAATAAACATGACAATGATTTAAATTATATGAAACCGTTTCTCTGAGCGGGGAAATATCTAATGTATTAGAAGGGTGCATGGGTTTCCTCTAAATATATCAGCTGTAAATATCTTAATTTTACCACCTAAATTGCTTCATGTTCTTTCCAGCCCACAGCCTGCGCTTGCTTCCTCTTGTGCCATAATTACAGTTATTTCCCTCCTCCCTGAGGCGCTGCTGATGGCAGATTACAACAGATCTGGTATCTGGTATCTGCATGTTATGTAGAATAATCAGGGTTAAATATGTCCCCACTTAACAGCATTCCAGATAAATACCCTTTCAGGGGCACAGTTTTTTTAATAACTGTTAATGGAGGATACTTTTTATGTGAAACGCTCATTTGTTAGGGGCACATGACTGATCTAATTTAATCATGGCAATGTCTGCAAGATCCGTATTTAGTATTCAGATATGGACTGTGAGAGATGAGGGATGGAGATTAAAAGATCAAACGGTATACAGCTGTGATATGCACAGCCTGGACTATAGAATGCGAGAATGACATCAAGGGGTTGAGGGGTGGAGCTCAGGCACTGGCGGTCAAGACAGAAATTGCATAAACAATATGCATTTAAAAGATAATTTAACAGGAAAGCTTCCTAAGATTATAACTGAGACAATGAGCTGTAACAACACGATGAGCTGTAATTTTTAGTCAGTGCTTGATAAATATTCTGGTTCCTTTATGTGGCTATTTCACGCTCCCTGACTTTCCCTACCTCCCCTTCTGGGCTTATACTGAGATCGCTCTTCCCCATCCTACCCTACAATGGCTTCAGAGAGTCGGGGCAAGCTGTGTCAAGATTTCAGCGGGATATCAGTGCCATCTTATCAACAATATGGGCCCCCGGGCAAAGCAGTACACTGGGGCCCTGTCTACACAACCACCCACAGGAATACAAATTTTAATCATCGATAAAATGAAGCTTATATTTATTGGTACTGTGACGAGACCAATCTCGCCACTGTGCATTGGAGGAGCCTGGTTGCCTGCCTGCTGCCTTTTGACTATGGACCGGCATTTAAATACTTTATTTTCCTATGCAGAAAGGTCTATTCCTGTATTTCTGCCCTGGCGTTCGGTAGATTCTCGGATTTACTGAATGAACTAATTTTACCCAGATAGCTATGCCATGGAGCCTATTCGTGTAATAAAAGACTTTGGCTCCATGGCGATTGAACTGTATGTGTGTGCTCTGAGCGCCATTCAGTAATAGTGTGCGCTCAGACCTAAGCTATCTGGGGATATGTTGCATGTCTATATTTTATGTAATAAATGTAACCTTGTGTATTTTATGTATTTTATTGTCTTTTGCTGCCATGTGTTCAATGGAGTTTTGCCTCTGTCCTTGCAGATAATTGGATTACTTTCCAATTATCTCCAGGATAGAAGACTCTGTGGAACTGGTTTGGAGCAGAAAAGCCATGCTTCATTTGGTCACAAAGGACTACGATCTATCTTTTGAACCACTGGACCAATTTGTATGATTTTGACGTAGTATGCTGATTCTGAAAATGTAAGTTTTATGTGAATGTGATGCATACTTTGAAAGTTATGAATAATGTGGAAAAACTGTATTTCTCTGCCTGTGATAATTGCATTACCCATTGTGTAAGGTAATTGTATCACAGGCAGAGGGGGGGATTTTGTGTGGGAGTGTCTGAGTGTATTGTACGTGTTTATTGGTTGTTTTCCAAAACCCTGTGGGTGGTACTAATGTGTATATAAGAACAATAAACCCACAGCTCTGTCTGTTCCTGTTTGACCCTCAAAACTGAGCCTCGTCTCGTTCTTGGGGGGATTTATTGTATGCTGTTCCAGTTCGACTGCTAGGAGTGTAAACCTTTTGTATGGTTTTTCCTATTCGGCTGTTTACAGCATTCGTATGGTTCAGGTTCGGCTGTTTACAGCATTCATATGCTTCTCCGGTTCGGAGGATTGGTGTCTACAGTAGATGTGCCTGTGTCTCTGGAAAGGGAAGATCTACTAAACTTCTTTTAACGCCTTTTATGCCTGGGGGACATTTAAAGGCATGTAATGCCAGCATTCACAATAATATTAGTTTTGAAATTTTTATCTGTAAAATTCTGAATCGGAGTGCTGTCATCCAAGTGTCTCCTTGAGGGCTGTCCTTGTAAAATGTCTGTCGGATCAGATCTTAAACAGATTAATTACCAGAATCACACACATTTAACATGCGGTACATCTAACACGCTCTTGACATCATGTACAGCGTGTACAAAGAACCAATTATTTCCCCATTTAGTATTTCATTTCCTTTGTGATACGTACCTGGAATTTCTATTGTTATCTAGTAATTGCAGGCTGTGGGATAATTAGCTTGTATGATGCAAAATCTGATTGAGTTCGTTATAATTAAACAAGTCACCAAGAAATTTCCTCTTTCCTTTACTTGGACTTAACAATCAATAAATTACATTTAATTTTGGTTTCCACAACATGAGCATTAGATCCAGTTAGCTTTATGTGTGATCAATAAGTTAATTGATTAATGGTTTAGTTGTCATGACAAGACTAGAAATATTTTGACAAGCAGGCATCCAGGTTGAAGGCTACAATTAAATGGGATTAAAGGGACACTGCACTACCCCCCAAAAAATTTAAGCAAATCACTGGATAGTAAATATACCCCAATGGAAACTGGCACGCATTTAAATGTGCATTATCTAAAAACAGCTAGCAAAAGTTGCCGATCTCTCGTCTACACCCTTTGAAAACCTTCCCCTGCTAACCCCTCCCAGACTTTCTGTGGCTGTCCAATCACAGACTTCCCCATGCAGCTCAATGAGCAGTATTTGCAAGGCAGGAGCTCTGGGCAATTGCTGCCTCTTGAGTTTATCGTCACTGTTTCTCTATGCCTCACCCACTTTGCATGCATGCCCCACCCACTTTGCATACATGCGTCACCCTCCAGGTATTTTAGTTTATATTATTCCCTAATTCAGGGCTTGCCAGCGTCCTGTCCCAAGATCAGTCACATATCTCATTATTCCCTATATGTAGATATAATTCTATATTACACTGATTAGCCTGCCTCTGCATAGCTTCCCTACACAGAATATTATTATAATGATGAAACATAACATGCGTCTCAACTTATAGTGGCAAGCATCGTCTCTGAAATGAGCTCAGAGAAAAGTTTTGTCATTTTACTGGTCTATAACCTCACTAATCCTCCCAAAGGACAGATCGATTGTCCTGGGGGCAGTTTGGTTGGATTCTCTCCCTGGGTTTAACCTCAAAAAATAAAACACCCCAACATACAGGTTTCTAGTGGGGCAACTCCTGCTATACTTGCAAGGATGAACCCTTCCCAGGATTGTAGATGCTGGGGATTCCGTGGGGCACTGGATACCGTCCCCCATAGTGGGTGGGATTACCCTTGGATACTTGGAATCAGATACATGGTATTCTACATCAGTTTTATAATCACCCCCCTCCACTCCAAGCCACCCCTCTCCTGGTCCACTCCCCATGCCACGATGGCCACCTCTGCTTACAATACATTGAAAACTTTGGGAATGTTGAACTCCGTTAAACATTTGGTGACAGCCAGACCCTCCCAGTTTGAGTCTCTGGTTTTAATATTTACCTCCTCAGGCGACATTAAGATGTAGACAGCGAATTGGGCCCAGTGGTTGACATAGTATCTCATGGCTTCCAAGCAGTTCCGTACAGCACATAGATTGTCCATTTGTTTCAAATTTATTGGCACTTTTAGATCTATTGCTGTTATGGGAGCTTGATATTCCCCTCCTCTCTATCTTTTTTCTATTTCCCCCTTTCATTATTTTGTTAACACCACCCAGATCAGCTCATTGTTATCAGTTATATAGTTTTTTTGTGAAAACATGGTTCCTAGCACGAGACCGCTAAAACTCAAGGTTTTATCACAAGCAACAAAGGGGACAAACCTATCACGAAAAAACGGATGGCCCTCATTGCTACGGAATCTAATGGCGCTATATAAATAATAAAATAATAATAATAATAATTGCCCGCAGAGGTGTCTTCACGGTATGCTGGGATCCCTAGACAGACACATTTGCCGTACCGCTCAGGCAGCCTCTATGAGCTTATCTTTTGATGCCTAAGTGTTATAGGAGTTGGATTTTGGTAGCAGTTGTAAGATGATTAGACATGTTTTAATATTGTGTTATTTGTGGAAATATGTGTTAGATGAGCTTGGTATGATCTATTTAAGTCATTTGATGGAAAACCATGAGTCCTGTTTTGGAGATTAGAATATAAAAAATATCCTCTGAGTGTAAGAGGCTTGTTGTTCATGCCATAAAAAAACAAAAAAATGCACGGTCACCAAGTTTCTTTTAAACTTGTTTCTGAGTAATTGAATTGGGTATTAAATAACAATGAATCATTTTAAGGGGTGTGGCCAGTCCAGAACCGGCGTCAAACATAGAACATTAAACATTCATCTTTTTACGTAGGCTCAATGTAGGCTGCTGACAAATAATGTTTTGGTAAAAACAATACACTTACAAGGGATTAAATTAATGCCTTTTGCATAAAATGTGAATTGTGGGAAATTTAAAGTGAATTCATAGTGATTTGTACATTTTAGTTCAAGATAGCCAAACTAAAAACACAGTTGACAATGAGGACTGAATATTGAGAGATCTTTTTAGATGTAAGAAATCCCTTGCATCCCTCAATAAATTGCCGCAGATGCAGCCGCAGTTTCCGAAGCTCCATTTGTCCTGTAATTGGTGACAAGTTAAAGGATGTAATAAAATCATGGAAAATGTACGTGGAAATATAGTTCAGATGTTTAGAAGTCAGTATCCGGACTACATCACCCTGTGGAAGGCCGATTGGCTAATGATTCTGTAGCAGTCGAAAAACAGTAAATAAGACCTAAGGCCATGATTGCCCAACGCTGTCGGAGGGGCTATATATAGATTGCATATACAGTCTGAAACTTGTGCAACATAAAGGTTCCTCTTACCGTAGACCGAGCAGGTCCTACGGGGACATTAATCTTCTTACATCAACACAGAGCATCCTATAACTTCTTCTGAAACATACTCTTTTTCATTAGATAATCTAGGATGCCAACTGCGGGTGACAGATAAACGTTTAACCCTTTTGGTGCCTAAACGTAAGACACACATTATGGAAATCCTCTTATGGCGGCAGCAGACTGTTGAGATAAGACCTTGTTTGGTGAGGCTAGGCATTTCGCCTGGAGCGATAAATCATTAACCCATTCCATGCTATGCAGGCGAGGAGTGCTTTATAATAATTATCCTTCACAAGTACTGATTCGGCATTCTAAGGAGTGGCACTCAAAGTGGCTTCTGTGGTTGGTGATAACGTGGCACTTATTACTTAATATGTTACAGAAATGCCAAGTGATCAGTAAATAGATTATCCTCGATAAACTGTCACGGAATGAATTCGGGGTGTTTTATTAGAGAGTTCCAAAGAGTCAGACTGGCCTTAAATCAGGTTGTTCTTTTAAAGTGTAATGGTAATGGTAGTAAAAAAAAAAGAAAAGTAATCTTTCCGTGCGAGATAAAACCAGCTGATTAAATTAGACATTTTAACCCTTTAGGACGGAGGCAATTCTGAACATTCTAAACAAAACAAAATGTAGCCCATGGAGCAGCGCAGCAAGGTGAAATGGGCCTTGACAGAGCTAGGAGACAGGCATAGGAGGTGTTAATACGGGGAGGGGGAGTTGGCTATAGAAAGTGGGGGTGGGGTTTTAGATTATGGGAGTAAATATAGGCGCCATTTTAGATCAAGGACCATCTTAATTAATCCTCACTTACCTGTATTTGTGGCAGGTCTGTGTAGTGTCTCCTTTTTCTGTCTTTCAGGTGCTGCTGGCTTGAAGAATGGAAGATTGGCTGGTTGGTGTACGTGCTGCTGTCCGGCAGAGAAGGGTGGCTCTGCTCCAGGAAAGGTTAGGAGAGGCCCTGGTCCCATCTGGGCTTGCTGCTGCTGGGCCCACCGTGACGGCCGAGATAAAGCCTGGACGTCCATCTTGCAGGATCCAACCGCCGCAATGTCTGAGCCCGGGTAAGGGATCCGCTGGGTTTTGGAGAGTGAGCCCATTACTGCCAGCTAATCCGGAGGCTGGCGGGAGGCCGGGGAGGTCTGGAGTTCATGGCCAGCATCGCCGTATGGCCGCCCACACTGCAAGGATGCCAGAGAGAGAGGCCGTATCGGCACGTTCGGGCCGTGAAGGACTGGGATGTTCGGGTTGCTTACAGGCATCGGTAGATAATGGTGAACAGGAGCATTGGGAAGTTGGCGAACGTTCGGGAGCATGCAAACGTTTGGGCCATGAACAGCCACGTTCGGGAACGAGGAGCCGTTCGGGTCGAAAACAGGTGATGGCTGGAAGTGGTGAACGGTCGGGCTGCAAACAGGCGAATGAAACTGGCGAACGTTCGGGCCGTGACCAGGCGAATGCTGTTCCCCACGAATAGGCTGTGAGCACAGAAGGAGCACAGAAAGCTGCTGAACGTTCAGGCCGGGCTGGGAGGAGCTGTTCGGGCCACGAACAGGACAGTACAAATACGGGTGCTGGTACGGCCCACAGCCAGGGCCACAGCGGGGTCCCTTGCCGCAGATAGGCAGGTCACCCTTCCCCCCGGCAGGTCACAGGATCAGAGGAGGGCAGCATGGCCGAGGGACCAGAGCCAGAAAGGGGGCAGGAGGGCTTCTACACCCCGCTAGGCGCAGGACAGGCTGGGTGGGCATACAGCACCGAACTCAGGACAGGCACGTTGGGCTCAGGGGGGCGCTGGCAGGCACGAGTCACAAGAGAGGTCTCAGAGCGGTCGCAGCGACCGGGAGCGCTGTTACAGCAGGGGCTTGCCCAGGGAGCGTAGGCGGGGACCGTCCCCTGTTAGGATGGCGGGTGGCAGGCGAAGCTGGTCAGTTTCCAGCAGCGGCAGTTCCCGGGAGGGCTCCAGGGGACGGACTGAAGCAGAGGACACGGCCTCGGGGGTTGGAATGACAGGCGGGCTGGGGACAGATCGATGGGGTCCAAGCACGCGAGTAGGCAGGTCAGGATGCTGTCGCACGGCCTACCCACGGTTCTTTCTCGTTCCAGGTCACCAAGGAAGTCGCCCACGGTGCGGGTGAGACCTCGGGAAGGGGACTTATAGCTGGAGGCGCCATCAGGCCAGGGCTTGGACACCGGTCTGAGAGATGCGGCCTTGCGACCTGCGATGCCAGAGGTTCGGATGGTGAGTTATCAAACGTTACTCAGTCTGGGGATCTTTTGGAGGGTCTGAAGTCTTTTATAGAGTCATGGAGTGGGAGATCGGGCAGGAATGTTAGCTTTGGTCAGGTATGGGCCCCGGGGCAGGAGGGCATGACTCCGGGGTTTGCCCTGGCTCAGGCAGACTAGGAGTAGTGGATCCTGTGGTGACGGCGGGGACTTCATCCGTGCTGAGGGAAGAAACGGAGGAACTGGTTGGGGGGATTCTGGATGCGGCCCATCAAAACATTCATGTTTCCTTTGCGGGGCCCCAGGGTGGTCATCTCAAGGTTGAAGTGAAGGAGCGGATTTGGAAGGGGTAATTCTTCGAGATCTTTTCTCTTCTCCCTCTTGATGAGTTTCTAGATATGAAGGAGGAGGATAGGAAAGATGCTAAGAAAGAGGAGGAGAAGAAGCGTCTGCACTACCGCAAGATTCTCAAAACCTTTGGGAACAGGTTATGGGCGTTTTGTATCCTAGCCAGTGTGGTGGGGGAAAAAGCTGATGCTCACAGCTCTTTTGCTACCTGGATGGTGTTTGGGAAGCTTATCGAATGTACGGGGGCTTGGCGTGATCGCCATATGACAAGCAATTCCAGCAGCGGGTGTTGGTTAACCCGGGCATGCGGTGGGAACAGATGGACCTGCCGTTGTGAATTAAACTCATGATGGCGTCACCCTTTCAGTGCGGGGACGACGTGGGTATGGCTTCCCCCTCATCGGCCGTTCACAAGAAGGGATTTTGCTGGCTGTTTAACAATAGCCAGTGTAAATGGGAGCGGTATGTTGGTACAAACAGGAATGTTCCGGGTGCAGGGGCGCGCATGGACTCAATCATTGTTTTAAGCTAGGTAAGGCAGCTGCCACAGGGGGTGCATCAGGGGCAGCCCGAGCATCCTCTACCGCTGGGGTCGTCGCCCGTGAAGGTAGGCACGATGTTTCCGTGGCTAAGCAGCTACGGTAACTGGGAGGATGCGGCACTGCTGCAGGTTTGGTTCATGGAAGGGTTTGTTATTCCATTCCGGGATCGGGTGGTAGTTCGTAACTTTAAGTCGGTGGAGGATTTTCCAGAGGTGGTGCGGGGAAAGCTGCTTAAGGAAGTACAGCTCGGGAGGATGGCGGGGAGTATTGGGTTTGGGGCATTATTTGCAGGGTGTTGGTGTGCGGTGTCCGGAAGAATGAAGGGCCAGATCCCTCATTTGCAATTTGGCCTTTTTGGAGTTCTTCCCCATGGTGGTGGCACTAGCATTGTGGGGTCGCCTGTTGAGCAATAAAAAAGTTATCTTGGTTATATGGCGGTGGTGGAAGCAGTTAATGGGTTGTCTGGTCATTTGGCTGTTTTGCCGCTTTGTGTTGGTTTGCATGCAGTTTAATATTGCATTTCACACGTACCAGGGTTGCTGAATGTGGTGGCTGATATGCTTTCTCGATTTCAGTGGGACCGATTTCGGGAGGCGGCTCTGGGCGCAGAGGAGGAAGGTATGCGGTGTCCGGAAGATGTGTGGCGACTTGGGACCTCTTGCTTGGGGGACTCATAAAAGGGTCGCTGGCGCCGTCCACATGGGCGGCCTACGAAACGGTTTGGAATGACTGGGACGCTACTGTGGGGTGTACAGGGGGTCTGCTTTCGGGGGTGGAGCATTTCGACACTTTATTGTGGTTCTTCTGTCGGTTGTTTGCTGAGGGGGCGTCCCCATCGGTGGTGGGACGCAATATAACTGTATTGGCCTTCCTGTTTAAACTCAATGGCTGGGAGGATTTAACAAAGCATTTTCTGGTGAGACAAGCTATTAAAGGGTTTCAGAGAGGGAGGTCGGCGCCGGATTCGCGCCAGCCGGTTGGTTTGGCTTGAAGGCGGTTCGGGTCATGGTCAGTGGTTCCCTGTTGTTGCATACGTATGGTTCATCCTTGTTGAAGTTTCAGTTCCTTCGGGTCTTTTGGTTAGCGCTCAGTTTGGTACGCACTCATTCTGGATTGGGACTGCAACGGAGGCGTCGCGGCTGGGCTTGGGTGATGAGCTGGTTAAGAAGATCGGGAGATGGGAGTCAGTGAGAATCAGGTCATATATGTCATATGGATCATATAGGTTGGGTGGTGGGGGGGGGACTGTTGTTTTGTTCCCTGTTAACATGTTTTCTCCCCTAGGTTGGATCGATTGGTTGCTGGGACACTCTTACGTGTATTGGGCGTACCGGAGGGTTGCAGTTCGTCGTCATGGCGCATAGCTGGGCTTTCGGCACTCAATGGTGCAACTCAAGTGGTTTGGATTAAGGGGGCTGGTTGGCAAGGGGTCTGCTCTCAGCTGTTCCGTTTGGTGGTTGGATTAAGGGGGGCTGGTTGGCAAGGGGTCTGCTCTAAGCTGTTCCGTTTGATTGGTGAAGGTCAGATGCCAAATGTTATTTTGATTCATGCAGGTTGGTCTCTCAGAGGGACTTAATTAGCGGGATGAAGAGGGATTTGGAGAGGCTGGGGCAGTTGATCCCTGACGTGGTTGTTGTTTGGACTGAGATGGTGCCGAGGTTACGTTGGCGGCATGCCAGGGATCCCCGGGCAGTGGCTAAGAGTAGGGAAAAGGTGAATAAGCTGATGGCAGCTTATGTTAGACGGTTTGGGGGTGTTGTGGTACGGCTTAGGGATTTGGAGGAGCAGCTGGCAGGGTATTATAGGCAGAATGGAGAGCACCTCTCTGATGTGGGTGTTGAGTTTTTGTTGTTGGGGTTTCAGGATGGACTGCAGCGGGCTCTTTTTTTGGTGGGCGGCGCTAAGGTAGTTCGAGGTGTCGAGCTCTGAGCTGTGGCGGGGGATGGATAAACAAGTTGGGGTATAGGTTGTTTGTCCAGATGTAATATAGTTTAATTCGCTAAGAACGGTTAGGTTTGGTTAAAATTCTGGTTGGTTTGAGCTCGTCTGTAGCTCCGAACCTGGTGTGTGTAGGGTGTATCTTGGTATACCCCTACATTGTGGAATATGATGGTTGGTTCAAGCTCATCGGTAGCTCCGAACCTTGTGTGTGTAGGGTGTATCTTGGTATACCCCTACATGTTGGAACATGGTAAATCATCCCCACGGTGGCAATGGTTTAAGTAGTTAGATGTTATTTATGTTATATATGTGAATATTGTTGTTTATGGGGGTCATTGTCAGGGTTAAATTGTTAAGAGTTGGGGCTGAGATGTTATGTTAGATATGTTGACAATGACCCTTAATATTTAATTTATATTGTAATTATTAATAAAGCTGTGATAAATTTCCAAACAGAAGGTGTCAGAGTATCTTTGGGTTTTGGGGGGTTTGTTTATTCCGCATATGCCGAAAAGGCGACTATGCATATGTCATGTAAACAAAACCTTTAATTTGTGTTAAATGTCTGTTCAACCATAATTCACCTCCTGGGCTTGGGTGATGAGCTGGTTAAGAAGATCGGGAGATGGGAATCAGTGAGATTCAGGTCATATATGTCATATGGGTCATATAGGTTGGGTGGTGGGGGGGGCTGTTGTTTTGTTCCCTGTTAACATGTTTTCTCCCCTATGTTGGATCGCTTGGTTGCTGGGACACTCTTACGTGTATTGGGCGTACCGGAGGGTTGCAGTTGGCACGCAGCCAGCCACTCTGCACCCTATAGGGGCGCCGCACAGCTGCCAGATATGACATCACGCGCTGAATGCGCATATCCAGCGGCTGTCGCGGAGAAAAGCTTTGAGCCTCTTGCGCTCGTGGCTGGTCTCTAAAGTATGCAATCAGACGTAGCCGCAACTCATAGTCACAGAGGCCCCAAGTCAGGCGGCCTACCGGGAAATTTCTCGGTATCCCGGTAGGCCAGTCCGGCCCTGTCTTCCTGTTACACGCCCTCCTCCAACCCTGCCACACTTAACTCTGTCGCATTAACACCTCTAATCCTGTCACACACCCCCATTACTCTGCCACACTCACCCTGTCAATTAACCCCCTTAATCCTGTCACATATACCTCCCTTTGCCCTGTTACACTCACTCCAATAATTCCATATACACCCCAACCCTGTAATACTCACCTCCCCAACCATGCCACATTCACCCTGTCACATAAACAATTTAATCCTGTCATTCTTACCTTCCCCTATCCTGTAACACCACCTCCTCCAGCCATGTCACACTTGCCCTCCCTCATTCTCACCCACCAACACTATCTCATTCACCCCCTCACCCTGCCACAGTTTCCCCTTTTCACCCTGTCACAGTCACCATTTAAAACAACAAAAATGGAATCTCTTACAAACCATTTCTAGACCCGTTAACAATTAGACGCGATATCACATACAATAACGAGTTATTTTTGCCTTATTACGAGACAAGATAACATGTTTTTTTCTTGGAGTAAAGTTCTTGCACGTCTGCGTCCGTCCCTGCTTCGAGTCATCTTGTGTTTTGCAAAGCATGACTCAGCACTAAGGAGCTAGTAGAATAATGGGCCGGTCTATCAAAATACAAATTATATAATGTCATAAACCACTGGAAACACGGAGGATTTATGTACTGAACAGTGAATCAAAACTACCGGTTGGAAAATGCCTAAAATTCATTCAAATTCAATTCATTTTTATTGTTATTTTGGGGGTATTTTGTGTTGGGCTCTGTGTATCCAGGAGATAATTTAATTTAAGTTGTGGATAACTCAATCTTCACCCAGACAAAGTGGCGCCAAGGTAGGATCACGTATGTACTGAATGGAGACCTCATGCTGGATGTCAATGTATAAAAGACCACTTTGTTTCCAATGAAACCAGTTGTACTTTCAGATTCATGTGTCGTCTGATTACTGGGGAAAAGGAGTTATAACCACTGATCAGCGCTTCTTCTAGCTAAGAATGAATTCCAACAGAAATATCCAGCTAGGATATAGGAGCTCAGCTCCACACCTCATCTTAATTTTTAGGCAGATAGATGCTGCCGCTTTTCACTGGCAATGTAAAATATTGCCGTTTCAGAGAAATTACAATGTTTCTAATCTTACAAGAATGTTCCCTTCTTCATCAAAGATCTTCATGAATGAGGTCCTTACGCACAGCACATTGACACCAAATGTGTCCACTGCTTCATTATGAGAAGCATCAGATTGGCAGAGTGAAGCGGTTGTGATGCACGTACCATAGCTCACCATTGTTTCATATATTTGTACAAAAAAAAAATTAAAAAAATAAAAAGATATATATATATATATTTCCAGCTTTCTCAAGGTGAATCTACTGAAATCCAATATTTTTTTATGAAAAAAATATTAAAATACAAATGTAATAAATAATGCAATTGTATTTTAATTGTAATGTACTAGGATTGTTTTTATTTAAATAAATTAATGTAATACGCATGTCTTCATTTAATTAAAGATATTCTATTTATTGTAACATATTGGACCCTTTGATGGAATTAAACCTTTCTCTACATTCTTTTGCTGTCCAGTCAGAGCTACTAATATCGTTTTGTGATATAAGATTTGTGTTAATCCATTTAAACTGATTCCGCTTAATCTGAGCATTTGGCTGCGACGCATATTTCCATTATTTGTTTTCCGATTTCAGCCTTTTGGTAGAGTCTGGAAAGGTTAAAATCTGATTGATAAATTTCAACAACAGAGCCTGGGTTGTGCAGTTTGAATAGTCCTGGGTAAACCCAGATTATATTTGCTAATCTGAACAGGAGGCATTCGAATTTTGGTAAATAAACCCCCCCGAGCGTCAGCCATATGAGGTCTTGTTTTAAGAATGTTGGATAAGCTTTTTAAATAATTTGTAGGAACACTATAGGGTCAGAAACACAAACATGTATTCCTGACCCCATGTTGTTAAAATCACTATCTGGCCCCCCTTGTCCCCTTAAATATAGTAAAAAATTACTTTTATTCCAGTGCTGCACGGGTCCGCCGGCGTATGCCTCTGCCCCGATCCGCCTAATGGGCAGACATCGTCAGAAGTGATGATCTCAGCAAATCACAATGCTTTTCCATAGGAAAGCATTGGATTGGCTGAGATCATTAATACTGATTATCTCAGACAACTTTAAGCTGTAGTTGTTCTTGTGACTATAGTGCCCCTTTAATATTTTAAATATTTTTTAAAATTATTATTTTTTTAAATATCAAAAAACATATTAAAAAAAAAAAAGCAAAATATTCAATCATTTTCAAAGTTTATCCAAAAATAATAAATTAAGGCCTAATTTGGTTGAGGAGAAAAAAAACTGAGGTATATTCACTAAACACTGTATTGTAATTATAAGAGTCAAGCTGGGACTGTAACAGAGTCGGGGAATGTTCCCAGATCAGCAATTATTTTACCAATTTTTATAATTTGGTGAATAAATCCCACTTAGACTGTTTCTCCCCTAATCATACCCCATCCCTGCGTAGACTACCTTTTAATGAATGCTGACACAGATTTAATACACAGAGAGGATTCATTCCCCAAATATTATTAATATTATCGCCATTTATTTAGCGTCACCTTATCTGACAGCTCTTTGCAATATTATAAAGTGGGAAATTAACAACAAATGAGACAAACCATTACAAATTGTGACAGGAACAATAGGTTGGTGAGGAGGACCCTGCTTGAACAAGGTCACAATTTAGAGGACAGTCTTAGGGTCTCAATCTCACTCTACTCCCCAAGTTTAAATCCCCTGACGTGTCACACCTCCCCCCATGTCTTAATTTTCCTTAGTACATTAAAGAGAGTTATCAAAGTATTTTTGTTTTATAATTTCTTATTACTACAGAGCAGAAAAGACCAATTGTTAGTGCATTTTATTAATACAACATTAACACATGCTAAAAACAGAAAAAAAACTGAAAAATATTTTAAAAATTCTCACTTTTTAAGAAGTTCTAAGCCCTAGATACACTACAGTTTATTGACCCTGCAGTCTCTCAATTGCAAACAATCGTTTCCTGTGAAAAGACAGAGCTCACATTTATCCATAAGGCCACATCAGATGACTGTCACTAAAACACTAAAACAGTCACTTATACAATCAATCAATCAGTCTCTCAGACACTCAGAAAATCAATCAGTCACTCAGGCATTTAAACATTCACACGGACAATCAGTCACTCAGACACAAAATCAGGCGCTCAGACAGTCAATCACTCAGACACCAAATCAGGCGCTCAGACAGTCAATCACTCAGACACCAAATCAGGAACTCAGACAGTCAATCACTCAGACACCAAATCAGGCACTCAGACAGTCAGTCACTCAGACACCAAATCAGGCGCTCAGACAGTCAATCACTCAGACACCAAATCAGGCACTCAGACAGTCAATCACTCAGACACCAAATCAGGCACTCAGACAGTCAATCACTCAGACACTAAATCAGGCGCACAGACAGTCAATCACTCAGGCACCAAATCAGGCGCTCAGACAGTCAATCACTCAGACACCAAATCAGGCGCTCAGACAGTCAATCACTCAGACACCAAATCAGGCGCTCAGACAGTCAATCACTCAGACACCAAATCAGGCGCTCAGACAGTCAATCACTCAGACACCAAATCTGGCACTCAGACAGTCAATCACTCAGACACCAAATCAGGAACTCTGATATTAAATCATGCACTCAGACAGTCATTCAAACACTAAGTCAGTCACTCAGTCAGACACTAAGTCAGTCACTCAGACATTCACTCAGTCACTTACTCAGTCACTCAGACACACACACTCACACACTCAGTCACTCAGACACTTACACACACACTCAGTCAGTTCCTCAGACACTCAGTCACTCACTTACACACTCACTTAGTCACTCATACACACACTCACACACACACACACATGTTTGTGTTTCTCTTGAAGAATACATTAAAATGTAAACTAATGGTGTGTTATTCATAAATTGTCACTAGGTGGCAGTGTTATATTAAAAATAAAACGACTATGGGACTCTCACTGTTTTTGTTGACTTATTTTATAACAGAGGATCTTATATTATATTATTATAGAGAATATTTCACATTAAATTCAGCTGTTTTCATTCACTGTCTGACCTGTAAAAATCCCAAAATAACAGGGAATACAATGGGGTTTCTCAGCAAATGTAGGACAAAATAATTAAATATTTGTTTTAGATTATTGAATTTGTTTGTCATTGTAATGTTATATTTACTGAAATAAAATTAACACCCAGCTTGTAATGTCCCTTTAACAAGCTAATCAATAATTCAGATGATTTGTAAATATGTCTCTAACTGAAAAGAGTAGCAGTTTCCATAGAAACCAGTGGACTCTACCCGCTGATTGCTCCACTTAAAGATTTTTGCCCCAACTAGCAGTTACTTGCAGTATATATTCAGGGCAGTATATAATATTAATAGGACCCCGGGCAAAGCATTTTCTTTGGCCCCTGCTTACAAACGCCATTTTCTTTGGCCCCTGCTTGGGGGAGGAATAAATTGTTGAGGCAGCGGGGCCCACAGGCCAGCTGCCTTGGGCCCTCCAGGAGTAACTGGGTCCAGGGCAGCTGCCCCGTTTGCACCACGTTAAAGACACGTTAAAGACGGCCCTGTATATCCTATTAGATATTGGAACATGTCCTGCATCTGGAGCAGGTCTATTACATGCGTTGGGCTAGCGACAGTTCATTTAAAACAAACGACTTGGTTGGACGTTTTCGGCTCTTTAGGAAAGCTGTTTTGGTTTAGGGTTCCAGCTCAACACGACTCTCTGTATACTGAACCTACCCCTTGGATAATTCTAGGGGGCTGATTCAGTATTTAGGGGTTTCTGTGCTCAGTGACTAAAACTGAACCTGACTCCCTTCTGTCTGCATGTCTGGAGGGCCCCAAAAAATGGGTCATGCTGGAGGTAAACCTAGTGAAAGCTTTGGGGTGCTGCATAGTAAAACACCACTTAGTAAGCCTATTGCCCCCCCAGTAAACCCACATTATCTGCATGAGAGATCTGTTTTGGCTGCCTCTCTAGGCCTCCCCTATATTAAACTTGCTGAATGAACAGACTGATCCTTTTAAAGTAGATTGAAGATTTCTGTGTTTACTTAAGCTGTTGTCTCAAACCTATTTTTCAGCGACTACAGCATTCATTAAGATTGATATAAATGGCCCAAGTGTTGAGAAAATACCATTAAGCGTGATGTTACTAAACATTAAATTGATACATTAGCGGACGAAGAAAAATATTTAGATAGTGTCTTTCAGTTGCCAGCATTGGCGTTCCACATGACCTAAGGTCTCCTGAGTTCTGAGCGGGCCAGAAACCGCGATGCAAGTCCAGAAATATTCACTATTATTCCCCTTTGTCATAGTTCATACAGAAAGCTTCGGCTTGTTGGCAGACCATCCGACTCGCTTCGTGAAGTCATGATACTCTGCAGATATTTAAAGCATGTGAGATAAAAGCAGGTCATTGGATGGAAACGATGCAAGGCTAACGAATGTAAAAATATTCCCTGACTCCGTTCCTTCTTTCATAATCAAATGTAGAACGATCGTTTACTGAGCAATATGTAATTAGAACGAGGGGCCCAGGACGCTCCTTGGGGAGGATGAGCAATATTGAAAGGGCCATGATTAGTGTTTGTTGATTGCCCTATATAAATTTATATATATATCTATATAAAGCTCTGTCCTAGCGGGAAAGGTCTCCCACATCACCCCGTTTTTGCAGGATTTATATAAAAAATCTCCAAGCTGTCCAGACTAAATTCAGCCAATACGATTTCAGTTAATTAGTCGCTGTGTTTCTTGGAGATACTGGATGTGGTCCAATAATTATAATAATAATTATTATTATATTTATTATTATTGTACAGCGCCAATATATTCAGCAGGGTGTCCAATGAGAGTACACAACAACCAATAAGTGATGATCACGTTCAGATAAATAAACACTCAGGATTAATGTCCTCTTCAAACTATCTTCAAAATCAGAGATCAGGACGTTGATTTCACTCCATGAGTACAGACTGCTGTACAGGATTTTCAATCCCTGGTCATCGCAGTGCAGAATTCTAAAACTGGGACAATCACCATGGAAACACTAAAATTAGATGCAGTTTTACAATCTTTGCAACACTTTTCAAAAAACATTTTATTTTTAAATATTTTTTCATTTTAGGTTAAAGAGGTACAAGGAACAGTAAACAGTAACAAATTAGAAAAAAACAAACAAAAGTATACAAATAAATAAGGAATAAATATCAGTAAAAGTCAATGTAATTGAAGTGACTAATTATAGGTCAAATAGCCTCAACCAAATAGGTAAACTGGGGGGGAAAGACATTGTTAAATAATTCTAATTTTAATCTGTAGGGGAAATTTAAAGGAAAAAGCACAATTTTGATAAATATACCTAAATTTCTCTCATGATTATCAACAGTGTGAATTGTGAGGAATTCAACTTGAGTTTCAAATTTAAGGCCAAAGTAGCCGAAAAGGAACAATTCTCCAAGTCAGCTATTCGTTCAGTTCACTTTAAATTGCAAACGTATCACGCTTTAGTAAATAAACCTGTTACAAATCCTGTTTATCTGAAGTTACAACAAAATGATCAAAAATGATCACAAATTCAAAGAGAATTTCACAATTAAGGCTAAAGTAGTCGAACTGTAAGCATAGCTGACTTAGATCATTTTTCCAGTTTGGCCTTTAATGTAAAATTCGTTTTGAATTCTCAACAATTTTCACTTTTGTAAATAACTTGCCAGCCATCTGTTTTAAACAATTCCTTATACCTACATAACAGATTGTTAACATTTTAATGGGTTATTGGATCAGACCTGCATGTTATAGCCCCATTCGTACACTGTGGTAATTACAGTTCTCCAACTACCAAGAGATAGAGGTTTTATCTAACTTTAAAATAAATTCTGTACTCCGCATGTTATTACAAGACACTGTTCAGTAAATAGCCAACCCATACCTAAATCTATACTGATCCAAGATGCTGGTCTCTGTGCCTTCTTCGCATAATAAACAGAGTCCTTGTTTACTCCTCTTCCTATCTCTGACAGTATGTGGATTTACCTTGTGAGGGCATAAGTTAAAAAGCGCTATTATGATATGCAACACTGATATGCATTACTAAGAATGTTGGAGCCTTGGATTAAGATGATCTTAACGGAGACCCTTACCTCAGGGTTTGCAAACTGCCGACTTGACACTTCCATCAAACACTGGGTAGTCTCCGCTTGGCACAAACCAAATGCCCTACGATGTCCACCTTCTACGCGCATAATTCAAATCACTACTGATCTAGCTGGTATATACTCTTGTGCCTTGCATGCCCAATTGAAAAAACATTGGTACCATGGATCTATATGAAGCTGGGGCTTGATGGGCCCATGTGATGTTGCATTTATTCTGTGCACAAAAAAATAAAGAATGAAAAAAAATAAAAAATTTTTTAAAAAGGGCTATTATAATATGTCTGGTGTTTGTCATAAGGTTGAGGTTAAACAGACACTACAGACCTCTACAGCAGTTTAGAAGTGCATTATATGTGAAGAATGTGTCCTATCTTTTTAATTTTACAAAAAGTGTAGATTTCAACAGAAATGAACACTTTTATAAATACACCCTCCCGCTGTCAATCAGACAACAGGTCCTGTTACTTCCTGGTTTGGTTACCTCAATGGAGATAAACTCAAGAGGCAGCAATTGCCCAGAGGACCTGTCTTGCACGGGGTTAGAAGGGGAGGGCTTGCAAATGTAGCAGTAGAGAGATCTGCAGCTTTTTAAAATCTTTTTTAGATATACCCCTAGTTTTAAAAAATATATATATTTAATTATATACCTGCTAAATAGTGATTTAAAAAAAAAAAAATTTGGGTGGTGGAATGTACCTTTAAGATAAGTTTGTAGTTAGTTATCTAATATGTTTATTGACGTTAGTATTTATATATATATATATATATATATATATATACACACACACATTTACATTTGGAATTTGTTTTTAATAGAATAAGACCCCTGTGCCCATTCCTTATTACTACATCTGTGTGTTATTCAATAAATTAAATGCCAGTAGGTGTGTGTTTGAAGGTCCATGGGGGGGGGGCTTGCCTTTAGTTCTCTGGTCTAGTGCCAATTCCAGATCTGGGCTAAACCCAACATTTAGGTGGCTTACCCCTCCTTAGTCCCCCTATAAAAGTATAAAACTCACCTTATTTCCAGCGCCGCGCGGGTCCACAGGTGCTGGCTCCGCCCCCTTTGTGGCATCAGCAAAATGACCAATTTTTAGCCAATCTAATGCTTTCCCTATTGGCTAAAATTGGAAAGGGGCGGGGCCAAATTCTGTTTTGGCCAATCAGGACCTTCTCATAGAGATGCATTGAATCAATGCATTGAATCAATGCATCTCTATGAGGAAAATTCAGCGTCTCCATGCAGAGCGTGGGGACGCTGAACGTCAGGACTGCCTACTGTGCAGCACTGAGCCAGTAAGCACCTCCAGTGGCCATCTAAGGAGTGGCCTCTTGGAGGTGTCCCTATGGGCAATGTAAACACTGCCTTTTCTCTGTGAAAATGCCTGAAGGGATCTATTATACTCACCAGAACAACTACATTAAGCTGTAGTTGCTCTGGTGACTATAGTGTCCCTTTAAACTAAATCCTGGGCTGTTGTCTCCAAGTGGTTTATTTGAATCCCGATGGATCGTTTCTTTATATTTAATGTCTCATTCATGAAAAGTTCCCCGAGCTGAGCTGTGCAGTCCTGATACCTTTAGCAATGTATTAACTGCCCATGCTGCATTGCTCACCTCAGATGGAACACGGGCCCAGCGAGCCTTGAACACACCTTCCTTTCTAGCAGTTTAAAATAAGGTGAAAATAGCCCAGCTGTGACTGGTTGCCATTCAGATTTGAATTTGCTACAATTTGGAGCTTAGCGAATAAACCCCCATATTCCCCATGCTGTGTTACCGCTGAAATGAGCATTGCAGCCCTAGTAATTAAGGTCACGCAAATATCTTCAACATCTACTGTATCTCTAAATTTTTACCTTAAGTAACTATTAATAAATTCAGCATAGCATTACGGATTTTCACCTCTCGGGGAACGAATACTATGTGTGTTATGATATAAAGTAATTTATCATGAAAGGGTTAAGGGGAAATGCCAAAATCCTATGCAACAAATACTCACAGTCATGCATTACCGTCATGGACCATTAGATGGCGCTATAGTACCAGTTGAAATGGTGCAGTGTCAAGGTTACATGACATTCCTGGGGCATTGTGCTTGTTGCTGTTTAACTTGAATCAGAGATCTGGCTCAGGACCTGCTTCCCATTAATAACCTGGAAGAATTCAGAGCTATATATTTGGAAACTGTTACACTAATAAATACGCTCCCTGCTTGCACAATCTGTGGCTTTCAGTAGTTTTTGTTAGAATGTGGGAAAACAAAAAGCAAGCTGCAGCCAGGGGTCCAAAAAGTTGGAAATTTCCAAAGTATGCACAGAAATCACTACACACAGCTTCCCCGCTTTCACCAACCCTACCATTGTCTTCTTATTACTTAGGAGACTTCTTGTACAGCACTACTAATTATGTTGGAGCTCACAATTTTATTTTTATTTTTTTAAATTATAGCATTGTTTGCTTATACAAATAACACTCTCTTTACCAGAGAGCTGTGTTAAAATTCTTATCCTTCGATAACATGCGTTTTATCACATGCCAGCTTAACATGTCCCCAGAATATTTGTGGCTAAGAGGTTAGTGTTCCTACTAGAAACTCTGCTCCCTGCTCACACTTCAGGGTCACAGGTCTGGGTCCTGGCGGGTTCAGCTCTGCTTTACATCCCTTAAAGAGTACTAGTTAATTTAGTAATACTATCAAGATTCAGGAGAATATAGATTTTATATATTTATTTTTTTCTTACTTATAGAAAATTAATTTTGAGTACATGCAAGATATCCCATTGAATTGTATTTGCTAATCTCTAAAATTGTCATCAAAATTTTTTTTACAAAAAAAAAATAAAAAATTGTAATTTGGTGATAGAGCAAATATGGGGAATTTTTACAAAGTCCCATTTTTTTTTTTTAAATTAAAAAAAATAAAATAAATGTCAACCCCTCAATTGACCATAACGTTTTAAATGTAGAGTGAAGTCATTTAAATCCCACATTTTAATAACAGCTCATCCTGCTGGATGCCAGAACACTTCATAGAGGAAGACCTGGCAAGGGAGAGTGGAGCAAACATTTTATTCATACATTTAAAATGTTTTTAGCAATACATATTTTATGCTGTAATAAGGATACAATACGCATTGAATGAATAGAAGTATTTTTTATTATAATGTGAAACATCTGAATAATAAAATGATACATAATAATTATCATAACGGAATGTAAAAAAACAGTTACAAATATCACATTTTAATAAAATAAGCGATATAATGCCCTTAGATAAAATAGAACGTAAAAAAATAACTTTTGTTTTGAAGACGTACAACATATAAACAGTAGCAATTTAAATATAGGAATCTGACTTACACACACACATACGTTAAAATAAAAAAATTGCACTTTAAGGTTGAAGTTCAAGTATTTGGTAAAGTTCACAAGGAACCAATTACATTTTATCCAGACTGCCCTTTACAAGTAATCGGGATTAGAGTCTCTGTAACAAGTCCATTGGCAATAATAGAACAGGAGGAGGGGGTGGGTAGGGGTTGGGGAATTAACCCTATGCTTCCAGAGATACCTGCATCACGGCCGGCTTCTCCAGTAACCAGAAGTTAAAGAAATTGGGGCAACGTAGCCCATGAGGTCTGTCCGTTCAGCTTTATAAAGACTTGTGGCAAATCCAAATTGCAAATCGCCCGGCCTATGTATTGCAGCACCTACCCCCCTACAGCACTGAGCATAGGTGAATGCTCCCAACTCTGGTGACGGGTACAGGAATCTTGCAACCAATGGTTTAACAGGAAGCAAAAAACCCCAGCACTGCTCGATTAGCATTCAGTTCTGCGTTTCATGTCCATTCAGTGCCAAGTTCAACAAATCGTCCTTACAAGTGCAAAATTACTACATCCTGTGTTGGCCATAGAAATCCTTGAATGGTTGGTGAAAAGTCCAAAAATCTGGACGATCCTCGACCAGACCACAACGATGCAATTCTTCATTCAAAGTCAATACTTTAAGGCAACTTTGTCTCATCTTTTCCTTCTCAGCTCTGTCTGTGCATCTCTTGGTTGGCACCTGCAGTTTCACTAGCCCTCCAGGGGAGAGATTTAGCCCCAAATCCAATTGCGTTCAATCTGGTACAGTCTCTGGTTTAAGTGCTGAGCAGGGCTCCCCATAACTTGCTCTTTCTCCAGGTGTCCCTCTCCTGGTCAGGTCTAGATGTCTGGCTGGTGCGAACCCATGATGGGGTGAGTTTACCATCCATCAGAGTTAGGAGAAGTCTGCTGTCTGGGACAGACCTTCTCCTGCGGCCGTAGCCCTGGGAGCTGATCTTCTTGGCTGGTGCTGTGCTGTCCTTGTCTTTGTCTGTGTACTGGTAGATCTGATGGGCCAGGTTCTGAATAGTGCATGTCCCAAACCTGCAGCCCACTCGGAGAGACTGGACGTTGTTAAAGTGGTTTGAGCTGTGTCTGTATCTCTTCACACGAATGTGGGCAGCGTTACTGCAAAACAAGACAGGACCCCCATTAGAAAACATACAATAAACTCGATACCCACTTTTGATGACCCTCACTCTTGCCACACACAGCCCTGCCCCCACATTCTATACATTAGTTCATACACAAATTGCAAACACAAACTTCAACCTTTGCCCCCTGATATTAGGAAATAGCTTGCTTAGAGAAGTAAAGTCAAACAGATCAATTACCTGCTGGAAGGAACCAGGGGGTCCATTATATCCTCTGGCTTGATCAAAGCGGATTGAGACGTTTCATCAGTTAGTGGGGCAGAATTCTGGGTATCACTCAGCAAATCTCTTCTGATCCGATGCTTTTCTATTAAACCCCACCTGGAATGGGACAGAACAGAGAGATCAGTAAACTATCCAGGCATTCCAAACACATTTCGAAGAATTTAAAGGCTCTGGCTAATAGACAGGTGAATGGTCTGTAATAATTCACAGTGATAGGATTAGATACTTACATTTTTCTGTCTTTTCTCAATTCCATTATCGCTGCAGCTGAACCCAGGACAGCCAGGTAACTCAGATGGAGGAGGATGATGTGAGTAAGTTCCATTCTGATATAAACCCTGGATGGAGGGACAGAGTTGCAGTTATTAGTGAAGTGATATAAGGGGTACACATCCCAAAACCCCAGCAGGTTCTGTTCCAAGTCTCTGCTTCTTCACTAGACTAAGAGTAAATTGACCCGAACACAGAACTAATACTACTTGATATTAGAGAAATAGAGTGTGCAAACTTTCCAGGAATTTCTAATGAAGCAATTTTAGTTAAAATGCTAAATAATATTTATTTGTAGTATTGCTAATCCTAGCACAGATTGCATGATAGTAACACCATGCATGGAGGGTTTAAATGACAGGAGGTCAGGGTATTATATATTCCCATTATAATAGGTTACTAAATAGCATTAAATAGCAGTAAGCCTCCCCTCCCTCCCTGTGTGCAGGGCAGTAAGTGGAACCTACCTGTAGGTGCTAATAATCCACAGATTGTCTCAGCAGAGAAGGAGAGTTGCTGTAATCCAGATCCAAGGTGAGAGTGAACTCAGCTATTCTGTCTGCAGTCCTGGGCTGGAGCTGCCTTATATACTACAGCACCACCAGGGGGCGTGCCCACCAAGATTGAGTGACAGCACACAACAATCAACACAGATTAGAAAGATATTTATTTATTTATTTCTGATGAATTGGGTGTAATAAGCCTTAATCATGGCTAAAAAAGCTGTTTATTTGCAACCCAGAATATCTGCCAATCCTTGCCATTACAGCCTGGATCTTGCCTAATATGGGCAGTTTTTGGTACTGTCCTGATCTGCAGTGAGTGGGGAGTCCTGGCATGTCTACTAAATAGTGCTCAGCTATATTATCTCACCTGACACCTGGAGTGGAAGCAGAACCTGAAATCAGAGTGTATCACTGAATCTAACACTGGATCTATACAGTTTATCACTGGATTCCACACTGGATCTGTACAGTGTATCACCTGATCCCACATTATATCTATAGTGTGTATCACTGGATCTATACCGTGTGTCACTGTTTCCCACATTATATCTATAGGTGTATCACTGGGTCTCAAATAGGATCTATACAGTGTATCACTGGATCTCACACTCGATCTATACAGTGTATCACCTGATCCCACATTATATCTATACAGTGTATCACTGGATCTATACCGTGTTTCACCGTTTCCCACATTATATCTATAGGTGTATCACTGGATCTCACATAGGATTTATACAGTGTATCACTGGATCTCAATTAGGATCAATGGAGTGTATCACTGGATCTCACATTACATCTATACAGTGTATCACTGGATCTATACCGTGTATCACTGTTCCCCACATTGTATCTATAGGTGTATCACTGGATCTTACATTATATCTATAGGTGTATCACTGGATCTCACATAGGATTTATACAGTGTATCACTGGATCTCACTTTATATCTATAGGTGTATCACTGGATCTCACATTATTTCTATACAGTGTATCACTGGATCTATACAGTGTATCAGTGAATTTATACAAGGTATTAGTGGATCACTGAATCTCACACTGGATCTATACAGTTTATCACTGGATTCCACACTGGATCTGTACAGTGTATCACCTGATCCCACATTATATCTATAGAGTGTATCACTGGATCTATACCGTGTGTCACTGTTTCCAACATTATATCTATAGGTGTATCACTGGGTCTCAAATAGGATCTATGCAGTGTATCACTGGATCTCACACTCGATCTATACAGTGTATCACCTGATCCCACATTATATCTATACAGTGTATCACTGGATCTATACAGTGTATCACTGGATTCCACACTGGATCTATACAGTGTATCACCTGATCCCACATTATATCTATACAGTGTATCACTGGATCTATACAGTGTATCACCTGATCCCACATTATATCTATACAGTGTATCACTGGATCTATACCGTGTATCACTGTTCCCCACATTATATCTATAGGTGTATCACTGGATCTTACATTATATCTATAGGTGTATCACTGGATCTCATATAGGATTTATACAGTGTATCACTGGATCTCACTTTATATCTATAGGTGTATCACTGTATCTCACTTTATATCTATAGGTGTATCACTGGATCTTACATTATATCTATAGGTGTATCACTGGATCTCATATAGGATTTATACAGTGTATCACTGGATCTCACATTATTTCTATAGGTGTATCACTGGATCTCACATTATTTCTATACAGTGTATCACTGGATCTATACAGTGTATCAGTGAATTTATACAAGGTATTAGTGGATCACAGATACATTTACACAGGGATTCCCTATGTCTGTTCATAATGTGAATCTTTTTATTTCTCCTGATAAATCAGAATTGCTGCCGTTAACCATATCGTGCCAGGACATCCTGATCCATTACACATTGTGTTGGCATGGCAATAATTACTTCAGAATAAATTAATTCAGTGTATCTGTGGGCATCAAGTGATGTCATTATCTGAATGGTTTAGGGGTGAATCATTAAACCTGCGGGGCAGATACTTTGTTATAATTCCCAAATTAATTAGGAATGGCAGGAATTTATCAGAAGTCTCCCCCCCCCCCTTACCCCCCACACACGTCATCCCCCATGTGGTGTAAATCTGCTCTGGGCAGATGTGGTAATGTGGAGGGCACGGCAGGTATGTATCATATAATATAAAAGGAGTTATACCATACAGGTAGGTAGATATAATCTAAAGGGAGTTATACCAGGTAGGTAGGTAGGTAGGTAGGTATAATATTAAGGGAGTTATGCCATACAGGTAAGTAGGTAGGTAGGTATAATATAAAGGGAGTTATATTATATAGGTAGGTAGGTATAATATAAAGGGAGTTATACCATACAGGTAGGTAGGTATAAGATAAAGGGGGTTATACCAGGTAGGTAGGTAGGTAGGTATAATATTAAGGGAGTTATACCATACAGGTAGGTAGGTAGATATAATCTAAAAGGAGTTATACCATACAGGTAGGTAGGTAGGTATTATATAAAGGGAGTTATACCATACAGGTAGGTAGATATAATCTAAAGGGAGTTATACCAGGTAGGTAGGTAGGTAGGTAGGTATAATATTAAGGGAGTTATGCCATACAGGTAAGTAGGTAGGTAGGTATAATATAAAGGGAGTTATATTATATAGGTAGGTAGGTATAATATAAAGGGAGTTATACCATACAGGTAGGTAGGTATAAGATAAAGGGGGTTATACCAGGTAGGTAGGTAGGTAGGTATAATATTAAGGGAGTTATACCATACAGGTAGGTAGGTAGATATAATCTAAAAGGAGTTATACCATACAGGTAGGTAGGTAGGTATTATATAAAGGGAGTTATACCATACAGGTAGGTAGATATAATCTAAAGGGAGTTATACCAGGTAGGTAGGTAGGTAGGTAGGTAGGTATAATATTAAGGGAGTTATGCCATACAGGTAAGTAGGTAGGTAGGTATAATATAAAGGGAGTTATATCATATAGGTAGGTAGGTATAATATAAAGGGAGTTATACCATACAGGTAGGTAGGTATAAGATAAAGGGGGTTATACCATACAGGTAGGTAGGTATAATATAAAGGGGGTTATACCATACAGGTAGGTAGGTATAATATAAAGGGGGTTATACCATACAGGTAGGTAGGTATAATATAAAGGGGGTTATACCATACAAGTAGGTAGGTAGGTATAATATAAAGGGGGTTATATCATACAGGTAGGTAGGTATAATATAAAGGGGGTTATACCATACAGGTAGGTAGGTATAATATAAAGGGGGTTATATCATACAGGTAGGTAGGTATAATATAAAGGGGGTTATATCATACAGGTAGGTAGGTATAATATAAAGGGGGTTATATCATACAGGTAGGTAGGTATCATATAAAGGCAGTTGCTCTCTATCTGTCCAGTTGCAGTTGGGGCAGTTTGTGGCAGCGCTGGGTATTATTAACCCCTGCATGGACTGGATTCACTATAACACTATAATACCCCCTACTATGCCTTCCTCTTTGCTAGCTGCATTCACCCCATGTACAAACACTTCACTGATCTCCTCATTCACACCCTTCCCCCCCCCAATCTCTTTCTACCCTTTCCATACAATGTCCCCTCCTATGTCTAGCCCCACTTTGTGCCCCTTCTACCAAGTATGTTTCCACGTCTTTCTGCCTCCCCCACTCTCTCTGCTTTCTTTCTAACACCCTAACTCGCTATTTCACATCATTTTACCCCCATTGTCTGCCCCTCCCTTACTATCTGCCCCTATCATCTGCCTACTCACTTTCTGCCCCCATCCCTTGAATCCCGCTCCCTTTCTGCCCCTATTCCCTAACCCATTACTTTCTCTATCCCCCATTGCTTAACCCCCCAGTCTCTGCCTCCTCTCCCAATGTGCCCACGTTCCTTAACCCTCTCTGCTACCCATTCTCTGCCACTCCCTCTCTCTGCCCCCCTCTCCTCTACTCTGCCCCCTCTCTCCCCCTCTCTGCCCCCCTGTATCCCTGTTTGTGGTCGCTGTCCCATCCAGGGGTCCTGATTCCAGGCCTGCACTCCCTCCTATAGGACCCTGTAAAGCTGGGGCTTGTTGTGGCCCGGTTTCCTGAATCCCCCAGCAATAGACATAACCTCTGGCTTTTACTGATAGGGTCCCATTAATCACATGTCTTTCTCCATGGAGATATGTTTGTGTTAACTAATTATGGATCAGGAGTCTCACAGAATGTGGATAAAGGGGCAGTTTTGAGGTCAAAGGAAAAATGTGGCTCTGACAAGCCACCCATAGATAATGGGTAGAAATTAACTGTTAATTGGATAATTAATTCATTACTGTTCAATAATTAGTGGAACAAAACTTGTAACCCCCCCTGAATTATTGTAAAATGCTGTGGAATAAGCTGAGGCTATATAAATGGCAATAATAATAATAATGATAACTAAACAAGGAGTCAGGGACAGACAGCAGAGACAGACAGACAACAGATTCACAGAGAGACAGGATAAACAGTCCCCATGTACAGGAGAGATTGAAGAGATAGTCACTAAAGGACAGATACAACACAGAGAGAGAGAAATGGCAACACAGGAAAGACAGACAGACAGACAGACAGCCACAGAGAGAGAGAAATGGCAACACAGGAAAGACAGACAGACAGAGAGAGAGACATGGCAACACGGGAAGGACAGACAACAAATACACAGAGAGACAGGATAAACAGTCACCATGTACAGGAGGGATTGAAGAGATAGTCACTAAAGGACAGATACACAACACAGAGAGACAGACATTGCAACATAGGAAAGACAGACAGACAGAGAGACAGCCACAGAAAGAGAGACATGGCAACACAGGAAAGACAGGCAGACAGAGAGACATCCACAGAGAAAGAGACAGCCACAGAGAAATGGGGAGACAGACAAAGACAGAAGTAGAGAGACAGGAGAAACACACACAGGGTATGGAGAGATACAGAAAGACAGACAGAGCAAAAAGACAGGAATGGGAACGAGAGATATGGACAGAGTAAGACAAACAGCGGGGTTTATTCACTAAATGGTAAATTGTAGTGAATGTGAACCCTCATTATATAATCCACACTGTGACTATAGTGAGATGGACCCCTCCCCCTCCCCCAAATCGGCAATGTTTGCTTACACTCCTCTCTCCCCAAGAGAGGGTATTTCACTAAAGTATAAATGGAAGTATAAAAAAGTATAAATGGAATGAAATAGATTTACAAATTTTAGGCCAAAGTAGCTGAAGTGAATACGTAACTGACATTTTTTTTTCCTTCAGTCTCTTTAGTGAATAAGTCCCCTTTTTTGGCAATGAAGGGTTAAACAGACCATTCAACTGGATTGTAACACTTAATGTTATACAGGATATATAGACATATAGACATAAAGACAGGGCAAGGAGTGATCACCAGCACGC